GAGCCTGATCTGTTGTCAGTTTTACTTTTAAAAGTTTCACAACAGCTCCCTTGCCACATCCTGGAGATTGTCCTTTAGAATCAAGAGCTTCAAGCTCTGGACATAAGGGACCTCTTTTTCAATCCTAAAAGAGTAGGCATCTTTCAGGCGTTTGAAAGGGCACTCATTAAACTGAAATAATTGATCTGATACACATAGGATTCCTCAAATAACATCTCAGGGATTGTTGATGGGCTAATAAGGAGCTTTCAGTATCAGGAATCAGATTTTCTGGACAACATCTTGATATGCAGGACCCGGGTGTATTCCTTAATATAACTGGAGGTAAAGCTCTTACTCCACTAACAACGTTTTAATAGGGGCTAGACATATAATATCTGTAATGATTTGTATTTTTATAGTGCCTTCTGTCTAAGGATCACCAATATCTGAGATTCTGTCCTCAAGCAGTAGGCGATTATCTTGAAAAAGGAACACACAATTTGATCTATAGAACTTTATATACATAAACACTCTTATACTACCCTTTCCTTGAACACTAGGGCTAAGTCTACACTGTCAGCTTCTTGCGCAAGAACTGTTTTGCGAAAGAGTTCTTGCACAAAAAGTCTTCCACAAGAGTGCATCTACACTGGCATGTGCTTTTGCGCAAGAGATGTGCTTTTATGCAAGAGCGTCCATGGCAGTATGGATGCTTTCTTGCGCAAGAAAGCTCTGATGGCCATTTTAGCCATAGCGGTTTCTTGCGCAAGAAATTCATGTTGCCTGTCTACAGTGCCCTCTTGTGCAAGAGCTCTTGCGCAAGGGGGCTTATTCCTCATGGGGAGAGGAATAACGCTTCCTGAAGAAGCCCTGTTTTCTGATGCTAGACTGTAAATTTACTTGCGCAAGGACGCGCATGCAGTGTAGACACCCAGCAAGTTTTTGCACAAAAACAGCTGTTCTTGCGCAAGAAGCCGCCAGTGTAGACATAGCCTAATTCTCTCTGGGTATGTCTACACTACCCCCCTAGTTCGAACTAGTGGGGTAATGTAGGCATACCGCACTTGCAAATGAAGCCCGGGATTTGAATTTCCCGGGCTTCATTTGCATAAGCGGGGAG